TTCACTGCCTGTTCAATGACGGCTGAGGAGGAAGTGCAGGCTGTTTACCATTATTGGAAGGCTGGTGGTTTAATAGTCAGCTTCTCCAGATCCATCAGTATGGTCTATAGAATATAATGCTATGGAACTGTTCCATTTACAAACCCTGTAAAAAATGATGTAATCAACACTTGGAGGATGATGGTTCAGCTTTTTTAGTTTGTAGGAAATAAATCACATCTATGACTCACACAGCTGACACTGACTTTAACCAGGAGCGCTAGAGCTGCTGGCCTGAGAACAGCGCCTTACAAATGAACTGTTGATGCTCAAAAACAGGACTGAAGACAAACACCTCAAACTGTTGTGGTGTTTGAAATTCCGTGATATACGAATTAATGAGCAACTCCAGACGGACAAACTTTGGTGCTGCCATCCACATCGAGTTTCACTGTTATCTGCACTAACACTGAAATAAACAAGCTGATACAAAAACTACTTGTTTATTGACAATCACATACAAAGATCCACTGTCCCCAGCAAAAACATCAAATATTCAATTGGTCATTAGGTACAAAACAAACAAAAACTCAGCGTTAGTTGGTTTTACAAACACGTTCAGGACTGCATCTCAAAAGTCCAGAGTAGCTTTGTTACAGAAGTGCCTGACAGTATGTCGATGTGACCGTTATCGAATTAACAGAAACCACACGATGCGGCAGAGCAGATGTCGGAAGCTCAGCGGTAAAAGGTTTCACAGAAAAGAGAGTAAGAGCTTTAAAGAAGTGCTGTTGTCCTTGTCTTCAATCCCACGATGCAACACTGATGCTTTGACCGGCTGCAGACACGATTTCCATCTACAGAAAGAGTCAGAACGCACACGAATGAACCAAACTGCAAACAGGCAACTTTTCTGTGGTCGCAAGTTCACGACACGGTTAATCAATGCAAACACTGATTGATGATTAGCTCAGTGGGCCGTGTGCAGTATGTTTCTCATCTCAGCACACATTTTACATTTTATTCTGCATATGATATTCTGTATATATTATCACTGCCTTTTTTAAATGGTAAATGGCCTGTATTTGTGTAGCGCTTTACTAGTCCCTAAGGACCCCAAAGCGCTTTACACATCCAGTCATCCACACACACATTCACACATTTTTAGTTAAACAAGTGGTAGTGTAGTGTGAGTGTAGCTAAATTTCACTGGCATGCTGAGATTCAGACGGTGGATCTGGACCCAAAAGATCATCACATGATCTTTTGCAGCCATTATAAATGTAACTGTACTTATTTTTGAAGCATGACGTAAATGAATTCTTATTTCAGTGGTAATTAAAATCAGCACTTATAGCATCACCTGTTAAATCTGATTAAAATGCTTAAAAGTGTGCCGCCTTTGCCCCAAAATGAAGTTTTAAAAAGATTTCCACCCCAAAGCTACTGTTTTACCACCACATTTTTCACAGAGCTTTCTCTTTCTCTTCATAACGTCTGCTCTTTGGCCAGACTGCCTGTTCCTGCTTCTAAAGGCCAATTCCTGCAAACGCTGACCGACACACTGAGACCTACCAGTGCTCGACGTCAGCATCCTCGAACTGACCCGCCTCCATCGCTGCTGCGTCCACCTCCATCCCATCTGTCAACATAAATGTACACACCAGAAATAAATCTTAAAATAAATTGATCCTCATCTTGCAAATCATCCAGAAATACTTTAATTTTCACTGCACAGAAAAGATTTTTGAGGAAATGTAAGTAATTTATATTTGCTCTACATTATAAACTGAACAGTATATTTATTAGTCTCTCATTGACTGGTTAAAGCAAGAAAAACATAGGATAGTTTCGTTTTTAGTAACAACTGTACAGGTGATGATAACTCATACCAGAGCGTAAAGTTAGGCACTGGCTGCTTTGATTCACAGGTGTGTCACCACAGGTGTAGCTGCTAGCTGCCTGCTAAGCTTCACCTCCACTCTGTCTATGCTGCTGGTGCCTCCTGAAGCATTTTAATGAATTTATCTGACAAATACAGTTTGTTGAATAAACCAACATGGTGGCAACCAAAACACTAATGCTGCAAAGTTCAGACAGGCTGCATGCTGATCAACCATCCACCTTCCCAATACGCATCAGAGCAACGTCAAACATGAGTTGACCTTTTTTGTATCCACGGTGCCATTTTGTTTAGTTTTAGTCTAACTTTGTGTTATTGTGTCCCTCACATCTGTCTCGTCGTGCTCCGTGTGTCATGTCATTACTTATTAAAACTAAAACACAAAGAGCAACAGGTCGAGGTTTGTGCGACTCTGACCTTCAAACTCGGCTTTTGTTTCTTCCGTCCGGACTCCAGCCATGTGGTACTGCTGAGCGACTGACTGAGCCAGCATCCCCTCTAGCCTCTCCAGCGTGGCCTGACCCTCCTGCGTTAGCGCCGACAGGCCCTCGTCGCAGGTGTAGAAGGTTGGGATGTCAGCGTGACCGTGCTCTAAGCAGGTGGAGGAGAGAGATGGTGATGCAGCAGCAACAATTTAAAGACAAATTCTACCTGTTTGTTTTTGCTGTAACATGATAAAGGTGTTGAAAGCTTTTACACACACAGACTATATCTCCCCCACTCGTGAATTCTTTCTACTGTTTTTTGTTGTTGGAACAAACAGTGGCATCTCCAGTCTGCCCTGTAAGTCTGACATCATTAGCCGTTTCATCTAAAGATGATGCACCATGTTCTGAGGGATTTCTGAAAAACTAAAATGTACAGCTCTGCTGTCACTTCACACATGAACAAAGACAGAAAACTAAACAGCTGTGTACCCATTCAAATCTTTGTTAGTCTCAGGCTATGTCCACACGTACCCGGGTATTTTTGAAAACGCAGATTTTTCTATGCGTTTACACCTTTCGTCCACACGTAAACGGCGTTTTTGGTCACTGAAAACGGAGATTTTTAAAAACTCCGGCCAGGGTGGATATTTTTAAAAACTCTGTTTTTGCATTTAGATGTGGACGAGAAAAACGGAGAAAACGCAGCGTCAAAGGTGTGCGCCTTTTTTGACGTCACACTGTGCGCCACGTTATTGTTTCGGTGAAATGAATTTCTACAATACTGTTACTGTTAATTGTACTCTCTGCAGTGTTTAAATGCTTACATATACACACACAGTTACTGTCCCTCCACACATACGACTCGGTTCTGCTTCTATGCCCCAGCTTTGTTTACTATTTCCCACCGAGGCTTCTAGACTTCTGATTGGCCAACATTTCTGCACGGTTAGGAATATAGCGCCACCTGCTGCTTTGGCATGTTCCTAGCAGCATTTTCCTTCATTTCTGCCTTTACGTGTGGACGGGATTATTTTTTAAAACGGAAAATCTCCGTTTTCAAAAATACCCGTGTACGTGTGGACGTAGCCTCAGAGTGATTCTTTTCTGATACCTTCAAGTATCTGGTGTCTGGCAAACCTGAGCGCTGGGCTGTAGTTACACCACATGGTTTTAAAAACTGAGCTTTAATATGTGCTGCAGATGAATAGTGGTAATAAAAACCCAGAGAGGCAGGCAGTGATCGTGATGACTAATTTTAAGGGCTTGTTCAGATTAAATGACACCTTAAAAAGACAACAGTCGTTTGGACCTGGATGCAGGGTTCACACGTCATCGCTTAACAACAGGATAGCACAATCCCCTCACTCTTATTTTGAAAGTTCAGCTGCTGATAACCATCTTTTCTCAGTCCTCCTGCTTCTTCAGTGATTTAAAGACAGATTTACAAAGAGTACTGTTTAATCCACCTGTGCACACTGCACTGCCATACACATCAGTTACTCTGTGCTCATCTCATTTAAACTTACCAGCCTCTGCAAGCAAGCAGTCCGAGTCATCAGTCCGTGAAGGGGAAAGAGAAAAGACAGAAGGAGAAAAATGAAAAGACTTTTACATTCAGACAAAAGAATTATTTTATCAAATGTTCTTTACAGTAAACTATTTAAACTGGAACTATTTGGTAATCCTTATTTTCTGTCATATATGCAGCTACAATGGTGCGTGCGCAGAGAAAAAAAGCCACCATAACAAATCATGAGATCACCATACGAACAAGTAATCATTATGAGTTTTTAAGCGCTTATTAATGAGGATTAGTTTATAACCTGGATCTGTCTAATCTCAAACACGGAGACATCCATAATGTGGCTAATCAGACCTTCTCTTTGCTAGACAAAGCTAATCAACAACAATTTCCCTTGTGGGATTAATAAAGTATCCATCCATCTATCAGAAGGAAGCTTACTTAAATGGGAGGAGCTAAAGGAGATAAATGGGGGGGGGTTTGTGTCAGACAAAGGAGCATCGAGGATGAACTGTGGTGCTGTCGGAAGGAGGAATAAAGTAAATATGAAATGTGTTTAAAGATAATTTAGTTTCCAAGTTTAAAAAATTAACGTTGGAAATGAGCAGAACAGGTCAACTTTACAAGAACAGCCATTGGTGATGTAAGAAATTCACTTCAATAGAAATACAATTAGGCACAAAGCCATTTCTACTCTGTATTCATAAATACAATAAAATGCTTAAAAAGAAAACTCGTTTTTTTTCTGGAAAGATTTTCTGCTTCTGTTTTGTGTTTCTGAATTAATTTGGGGATTTATATCACTGTTTGTTGGAATGTGAGGAGCTGTTGTCTTCTTTGTGTCTGCTAAAGAGACAAAGAAGTGCATGAACAGAGGATCCTAAATCATCCAGACTGAAATCAGACCCATTTTTACAGGCCACTTCATTGTAACGTTGAGCCAGGTGCATTCTGCATCTATGCGTTTGAGTTTTGCCTCACCGGCTTCCTCCACGTCGTACTCCTCTCCTTCAAAGTCGTTGTCCGAGTCGTCATCCTCGGGATCGGGGTGGAGCGCCTGGCACTCGCACATGGCTGAGAACATGGACTCCACTGCAAGTAAGGCACACAAAGGTATAAGTGTGATGCTGCGCCATCTCCAACTGTCGTTTATACAGGATGTGCAGCCTGCTGCTCATCCTCAGCGAGGTCACTCACATGCCGCTTTGTCGCTGGGAACAAATCGAATCTCTGTGATCGGCCCTTCGTCTTCATCATCGTCACCACCATCACTGCTGCCGTCATCATCATCATCAGCTGCTTTCTCTGCCATTTCTGCCCCGTTCTCTTCTGTAAGGAAACAGGAGAAGTCAGCAGTGACCCAAAAACTCCTTCAGAAACTGTAAAGAAACTATTTGTACACAACAGGTCAAACACGCTTTAACAACCCTGAAGACTGGACTCCCCTCACCCCCCAAAAACTACATATTTTTGGGGGCCTAAACAAGTAAAAAGAGATATAAAGTTCAGATGTAAATTTCGCCTCACTGTTGAGTTTGCCGTTGACCATGACGTAGAGGTGTTCCTGTGGGTAAGTGCTGACGTCTCTGGAGATGGCGTGCAGACCGATGGAGGGATACTCCAGAGAGAAACCCAGGCCTGAGCTGTCAAACCACGACAGGCGCCTGATAAAAAGAAAACAAACTGCTTTAAACAACAATAACATTGTTTGCTTCTACTTTCTAAAAGTAAAAAAAGTGCTTTGTAAAAAAAATATGTAATGAGAAAATATGTAATTGTAATCCAACAGCGTGGGTCTGTGAGAAATATAACACAGCTGTAAAATCTGAATTTACACACACAATGTTTCCTTCCCAGTTTATTGCTGTTTTGTGCTTTTCCAAATTTTTTTACTAGCTTAAGAAAAATAAATAAAATTAATTAAGAATTGAATAACTGAAATAATATAGCAACACGAAGACAACAAGATGAAAAAGAACACAAAGACAATGTAAAAAGAAAAGAAATACAATGATAGCACAGAAACAAATTCCAAAAAAATAAAAATAAAAAATACATTTATTTAAAAAAAAATTAAGGAAAGGAAAAAGAAACGCGCCTAAGGTATACCAAAACACACACAAAATATATCATGTTTACGGAGAGGTACAAGAAAAAAATGTAATATAAATAATAAGTAAACATATTTCTAATACTGGATTTAAAAGAAGACATACACATTTTGTTCTACAATGTATTATTTTGAAAGAGTGCGCTCCGGAAGTGATTTCAGCGCGCGGAGCAGACGTTTATTTTGTGTCTATAACGTAAACTGGTGTGATTTCCAATGAAGTGCGCGTGAAAGCCCGATAAGAACCTCAATAAACACGAGCCTGAACCCCAGACCCACGAGCCAAAGAGCAAAACACGCGCCACGTGCATCACTTACGTTTCTGCGACGTAGAGGGTGCCGCAGCCGAGCCGCTGGCCGTCCATCACCGCCGTGGTCTCGGCTTGTTCGTGTCTCACTCCCTCGGTGGGAGGGTGGAGGTTATTCAGTAATACCATAGTCCTCGGCCCGCTCGGACGGAAAAGAACAGAAACCGGTGAAAACGCGCAGCTGCGTGACAAATTTTGTGCTGGCTAAAGATGGCTAATTTTACCCGGGGTAACTTCTCAGTGCTAAATCAGTGTCCGACAGCTGGAGGCGAGTAAACGGCAGCCGTGCTATAACGCTTCTTCCCTTGGATTAGCAGATCCGGGACAGAAAGCTTTGAGTGCGAACAGGCGTGACAAAAACTGAAAACACTGGTTACAAAGTGCTTGTTCAGGGTGACGTCACGCTAAAGTATCGCGACAACACAGAACTCCCATCGAGAATTCACATACTCCAGATTGGCAGTTTAAAAAGCTGTCGCGAGATAGAGCTGTTTCCTAATCTTTTATTCCTAAAGATGTAGAAATATAAATTCTTACATTATTTACCAAAAAAAAGTAAAAAATAAAATAAAATTCTAACAAAGACTGAGCATATATATAGAACAAACACGATTTTTTAAATAAACAAGTACAAATCAACACAGTAAAAATAAATGATTATCTGTATAAAAAAGGGAAAGGACACACTGAGTAAGCACCACTGACTTTATAAGATTTTTTTTCTTTCTTTTTTTCACTTGTTGGTAAAGACATTAACTTAAGGGCTTCCTCACTGGTTACAAATTTGAGTGACTAACTGTATAAACTGATTTAAACACTGCCTTAATAAAAAAGAATCATTAATATTCAAAATAGTAACTCATTATGTTTGGATAATTGATCCTCATTATATCAGTTTCTTGAAAAATAGTTTGGAAACAGAATAAAGACAGAGTTTGTAAGGACTATAAGGTCCACAAGCACTGAGGCAGTTATGCAATTTTCTAATCTTGCCTCAGAACACACACGCACACACACTGATTACTCATTTGACATCAAAGTTTGGGAGCTCTGATCCGGTTAATTAAATCCTGCACTGAAATATGGGGATTGTGTGTTTATTAAAATTTAAAATCATCATGGAGTCATTGACAGAAGAACATCAACATTCAGCCTGTTAAATTAGATTTTGATATTTTTATTTCAGAAATGATCCCTTACAAAGACGGAGAATATAAATGTGACCACAGCAACATCCAGTTTGCTGTTTCTCATCTCTCCTCAAACCAGGAGAGAACTATTCAGATTAATATTCGCTTTAGAGTAACAAGTTCTTTAGTGTCCTGAACCCAGATCAGTGACATCATGGACCCATGATCCTCGCTGTTCTTGCTCTGGTGAGGATAAGAAAGGACAAAAGTGATGTTAAATCCATTGGCACAAGCCACACTTTAGTCTTATTTCAGTATTATCAGTGAACCTCTGAATGTTTTGCTGTTTGCCACTGTGTCAAAAACTCCTTAGCAGTGTATATAAATGCACGTGGCTGTTATGATGTTATTGTTGGTGTGTGAAGCGACCAGTGCAGTGGGTGTAATGGTTCTCCTAGCCTGAACTGTTTTTGATAACTGGAGAAATTGGAGCTCCTTTAGAAAACATGCAAACCCCTCACAGAGTTCTGACCAGGTTTGATCCCAGGAACCTCTTAGTGTGAGACCACAGAGCTACCCACTAAGGACAATAACACCTGATTTACATAGCACTTACAAATTGGAGAAAATGTTTAAATTATGAAACAAATTTAGATTTCTTGAGTTTTTCTGAGTTTGAGAGAGTACAAAGATTAGTGTGACAGTTTTAATGAGACTATCTGGAACAAGTTTAAAACATTTCCTTCTAAATTCTCAGTATTCACTTATCAGCATTCAGTGTGCGCGATGCAATCTATTACTGTTCATGTGACTTTCTGAGAATGTATGAAAAGTGATCGGCTCTACCGCAATGTTCTTGTTTTGAACACCCACAGCAGGACTGAGGCCACGATTACAGTTTCACCTCAACTTTTATCCTAAAATCAGTCAGGCTCGTGCTTCAGTGTAAATGATTTTCACTGATTGATGTTGGTGATATTATGTGATCTACAGTGCATTTTATTTTCATGTCCTTCATCATTCTTTTATCTGCCATTGTGAGTTAAGTGCACGATTTACACTAAACTATCAGTGCACAATAAAGAAAAGCAGGACGACATTCCTTAAAACCTTTTGTTTGATCATTTCTCAAAAATAAGGTGAAATGAACACAGTCAGACAGACATTTCCCTCTCAAACAATCACCATGTTAATAAATGATATAACAGCTCTGTAACATGTTTCACTCGACATCAGAGACATGTTAAAGTGTGTTGGCTGCATATTAACTCAAAATCCTGAAAACAAAGTTTGGGAGCTGTGATCCAGTTTACTAAATCCTGCACTGAAATATGAGGATTGTGTGTTTATTAAAATTTAAAATCATCATGGAGTCATTGACAGAAGAGCATCAACGTTCAGCCTGTTAAATTAGATTTAGATATTATTTTATTTCAGAAATGATTCCTAACAAAAATGGAGAATATAAAAACACAATCAAAGCAGTAACGTCCATATTATGAAGTGTTTGCTGTATCAGACAATCATGTTTCCAGACTGCTGCATCACAACAATTTGAAATGCAAATATAAATGATTCACAACAATGAAAACAATATAGTGCAGATAAACATGGTGCTGTAATGAATCTGCTCTTAAACACAATAACAAAATACATTTTCCCAGAGAGATGATAATGATTCACATCAGAGTGAAGAACGAATACATTTACAACTGGTTTCTAACATTTATTATAGATCGAACTGATCACTGATAGAAACAGAAGAATATTCAAAATGATACTCTGAGAGATACATGAATGAGATATGGATAAACATCAAATCACATAAAACAAAAAAGCACATAATCATTATAAATGAAATAAAATATGAGTACAAAAAAATAAGAATTAAGTCGAAAGATAAAAAAGGCAAAATGTTTAAAATATATAATCATATAAGAGACTGAACCGTCCAGTCAGGTCACAGATTCATATCTACAATAATATTTTTGTTTGTTTTTGTTTTGATTCCATCAATCCTAGGTCCCTGTATTAATATTAACACTATTATTATTACTTATAATAATAATGTTGTTATTATTATTATCATTATAAATGCTGATAAGCATATTAAGTGTGTGTCTGAGCTGAAAGCCGCTCTCCTCTCCTGGTTTTCTGTGTCACACAGACCACAACAACACAAAGCATCACCTGCAGACTGCTGAGCAGTATCCACCTGACTCTGTAGAAGGTCGAGTAAACCCCAAAGGGCTCTCTGTAGATCAGAACTGTTTTTACTGCTGACACACACTCAGTCTCTGACTCTAAAACTGCACACCAATACTCTCCTGCATCTTCCAGTGAGACATTAGAGATTATCAGGCTGTCATAGGAACGAAGGATTCTGATTTGATTTTCAATCATCTCAGTAAATTCAATGATTTTGCCTTTTCTTTTGATCGAATTCATAAACCACCAGTGCTTCATACCCAGTTTTCTCTCAGTAATACATGTGAGAGTGACTTCATCTCCCTCTGAGAAGACCTCTACTGCAGGTGGACCAAATTTGGGGCACACCAAAAGTTTGAACCATTGTTTTATGGTTTGACCTCCACAGGTGTACCAACCGGAATCATTCAACATTAGCATTGGAAGCACCAGCGAGTAGTTTTGACCGACTTCTTCATAAGTCTTCGAGCCCATTTCCCACTTCCTCCAAACCGGGTGTTGGTCATGAATGGAGGGACACTGCAGCACAGCTGTCTCTCCCACTGAGCCATGGACTATCTTTGCTGCTTTGGTCAAACGTACTGAGTGAGTGCTCACACACTGCTGTTGGTTCATCACCAGGCAGATGTACAATGTTTGTAATGTGTCGAAGACATGAAGAAGTGACGTTTTTTTTACCTCCAGGAAACTTTCTTTTAAACTGTTCACCTTCAAAGCTGTGCCATCATCTAAAACTGTTAGCTTTAAGTCTTTGTCATACGTAAAGTCATGTTTGATCCACTTCACCGTCAGATCCTCACCTGCGCCTTCACATCGTACGTCCACTATGGCTTTGTGTGTTACATTACGCGTTGTTTCC